CCCACAGGGCGAGAAACATTTACCAATGGAAACCTTTTACGTTAGATTCTCAATTTTTGGAATGCTCTTGCACTATGGTTCCTCTTGTGGGCTCAAGTGCCCCGTGTACATACAGTGTGTATAAAGCTGCACATAGGAAGACCAAGTTTAGAGTAGTCAAGCCAGTCTCACTCTTAGCAGTCAAACCAGCACTCTTGGTATTTGCAAACCCTATAGGGTTTTTACAAATCGGTTTTGTCAACTTTTGCGATTTCCATTCGCGTAGCAGTCCAATGCCTGACCTTCGGCAGCGAATGACACTAAAGGGTTTCTCTAGTAAGGGTTTAAACAAACTTGCCCACGCCCTTAACGGTAATCATATCTCCTGGCAAATACCCGCTCCTCATTTTCGATCTAAACAATGGGCTAACTCCTTTAGTATCCCCAATGGAATGATAGTCTCTGACTATGCCTTTTACAGCAAGGACAAACTTTGGATTAGATATTATAGAAGAGGATCAGCATATGGGACAATGGGACACTGCTACGGTCGGTCGCCTCCTTCGGNNCGGGAAGCCGCTGGACGTACTTCCAGAAATTTAAGCGAGTTTGGAGTTCCAGACCCAGTCACTCCTTGGTCAGTATGGAAACTCCGGGCAGAGCCCAAGACATTTACTGATGGAAACATTTACGTTGTGGGGACCTCGGTCGCGACATTTACGTTAGCGACGTTGGCGACCACATTGACGACAAAGGGTCTATTCCACCATGCTCCAGCGAGGCATCTCCTGAAGATCAGACAGTCCCGTGCGGCTACCAAGACCGACGAGCTCTCAGGGGTTCTCATCGAGGACAGAGATTCGAAGACTCTCGCCAAAAAAGATTTGATTCCTGGAAGTCTAAGCAAAGAGCTTCAAGAAATGTTTATAGACAATGGAAATCGAAGTATAAGGATTCCACCCTGAGGACACACGGTGATCAGAATCCAAAGCCCCTGATTTGTCCAACATGGGCAGCACAGTATCGACTCTATTCCCAAGCCAAAAAGTTTTCTAAAGGCTCTAACCAACTCAGACATTCTGATAAGACTACCTCAGCGCCATTGCCTACAGGTTTCGATGTCCGCATTGCTACTTGGAACGTTGAAGGTTTAAGAGAAATTGCTAAGTATGATCAACTACTTTCGTTCCTAACCTCCAGAAATATCCATTTGCTAGCTGTTCAAGAGACTAAGACCGACTCAGTTTGCGCACTCAATAAGTCTGGTTGGGAAATTTTACATTCTGGTGCAGCAAATGCCAGACATCATGGAGTAGGATTCTTTGTTTCTCCTTCCCTTCGTCCCCATGTATCTAAATTTTTGGCCCACTCCCCTAGGATTAGTGAGATTACCATCCATACCAATCCTCACCCTATTACAGTCTTTTCCATCTATGCTCCCAGCACTGTGGAAGATTCTTTGGTAGCCAGAAAAGATTTCTTTTTGGTCCCAGCTCGATAGTATCATTACTGAGCATCCTAACTCTTCTCATTTGATTACCTTGGAGACTACAATGCCAGATTGGGTGAGTACCTTGATCCAGATCAGGGTCATATTGGCCCGCGTGTCTGGGGCAAACGACAAAGCATTGATGATTCCGATAGGGATAATGCGCTATATTTGCTTGATTTTATGCAGTCCCATTTACTTCTATTACCCCAGACCTTCACCGATTTGCCTGACTCCCGCAAGGTGTCGTGCAAAGAGATGACCAGCAGCACAGACTGCCTGGACAACGTCGATGTTACGAATTGGACCACCCTAGATTATGCTTCTATCTCCCGCCCCATCTTCCCAGACATCTCGTTCAGCAGTTGGTTAATACCCGTCACCTTCCTCTTCTCTTTACGTACCGTTCTTCATTCTCCCCCAAAACCTCTTACAAGGAAGAGCCTAAATTAGATTATACCTGCGCCTCCAATTTCTATCAAGCAGTTGAAACCGATCTTCTTTCCTCAACTGGTAATTCTGTTTGTACTACCGCTACCAATCACCATGTTCTGGTTGCTTACACGGACGGCTCCTGTCCTAATAATAGTACAGTTGGTCCAGACAACCCCGCAGGTTGGGGTTTCACCCTCTACTTCTCAACTACCCCCTTTTTCTCATCATTTAGAGGCTGACTCTAGTTGGTTTCATTCCCACGGTGTGGTCAAAACCACCCCATTAGACGAAAATGCTCTTGTCCCACTAGACGGCTCCAATAACACTGGAGAGATGCGTGCAATAATTGAGCTCTTTGACTATATTTTGTATTATTCACAACTCCCTCACGGCTCCTCAGTTGAGGTTTTCATTGACTCTACGTATGTCATTCGTTCTTTGCAGGGCGACCAGCTTCCTTCTACACATCATCAGTTGGTAGAATTGGCCCAGCAATATTATACTGCTCTCCGTACTATATATAAAGTTGAGCTCCGTAAGGTTCCCTCACACGTCGGAATTCCAGGCAATGAAATGGCGGACTCCTTAGCCAAACGTGGAGTCACAACATACGGCAGCCTGGGTAGATTTTCCCCTCCTCGCACTCAACCCCTTTCTCCTCCGCAGTTAGCCTATAATTCTGACCTCTGGAATACTAAATCACCGCAAGAGCAATCTGAGTTTCTCCGCTCATTGCTCCTCAAACATTGTAACCTCATTCCCACTTTACCTATCTCGCCTAAAAAACCTTGGAAATCTCTGAATCTACTCTTTCTCTTATTTCCTCTTTTCAGTCTGTAAAGGATCTTACCGTACCAGAGCTCAAATCTATCCGTAATCGGATCAAAAAATCAGCCTCCAAAGATAAGAAGCAATTCATTGCTGCGCACCTCCAGGAAGACTTTCATGCTCCCTCCATCCAACAGTGGAGAACAGATAGGCAAATTCGCAAACCTTTTGTTCCACGTTCCGTGAATCTTTTTAATATCCATGGAAAGCTCTCCGCTAAGCACCAGCGTGCCTCCACATTCGCAGAATACTTCTCCCAAAAAGTATGGCATGCTCCTGCGGAAGATCACCATATTCCTCCCTCTCCTTCTCCAATTATACAATGTGATTCTTCTTTCACAATGGCTGAGCTCAATATTGTACTACGATCTCTTAGTTAGTAATAGAAAAAACGTCTCCTATAGAATATCACAAGCGGTCTCCGCTTCAAAACTCCTGGAGCCGTTGCTTGGACATAAATCTCTTCCTCCCTCATGGAAGCTCACTGTTTATAGATCTGTTGTTCAGTCCATCCTGCTATATGCAATGGAGAGTGCCCAGCTTACTCCCCCGCAGCTAACTAGAATTGATCACGTACATTTTAAATCTATTCGTCGCATTTTCTGTATTAAGTCCTCTTTCTATCATAGGGTCCTCAACCCCTCTGCAGAGGAGTGCTCCAATCAATACCTGACGGGCTTCGCATACAACTCTAGGCGAGTAGTCACCCCCTCCCAAATGTATTCTCAAAACCGATTCACTCTTTTAGGTCATTTGTTTGGGCATCGTGATTCCTTGAATATCATTCCACTTTTATGCCCTCTGGGCAGTATAGGTACACCAGAGGTCCTAACCGAGTAGGACGCCCCCGTCTCCACCGGGCAGAGTCCGGGATGGCTGAGGCATCTCAGCGCATAGCCCATCCGGCCTCAGATTAACCTCCGGCCCATGATGACATTAATAACACCTTTTTCCGTATTCCTAATATCACCCTAGTGAGATCTTCTCATGTTTCAACCTCCTTGATGTGGATGGACAACACCTCCTTATATAGAAGAATACAACCCATGACTCAAAACAGAAGGGCTTGGGCAAGTCTAGTACATAAACCCCCAAAGAAGCCACTTAGAAAACAGCTGCCGAGGCTGACGGCCTTTCTGACAAAGGCTTGCGCATTGGAAAAAATGGCCTGCACATTTTTTCTGATGGTGAACAATCTTTTGATACCGCGTGCAAGTGTTTACTGTTTTCTTGATTTTGTTGGTCTGCGGGGAAGGGTGCAGGGCCTTTTATCCCATGATTAAGCGCCTACTTGTATATGGTTTTCAGTGCGTTTGCATGCATGCGAGCTTTGGTGATTCAGATTGCTTGATCGGCGCATGTTGGTTTTGAATGCATGTTTGCGTGATGCGTGAATTTTTTGAGTGTTTTGCCGGACAAATTTGCGGTTGATGATGGAGAAATCTTGACACTCCCCAGACCCCGCTTGGTTACTGTTTGGGGTTCTGAGAGACCCCAACCAGCACCAAATTGTCGTGATTTGTGCAAGTTATGGAAATCAGAGGCAATGAATGCAACATATCAGACAATTCAGTGGCAATTTCTGTGTTCGGAACAGTTTATTCATCGACATTGAACTTTAGGTGTTGCGAGGTTCTTTGGAGGGCATTCGTCTGTACGATGCAGAGAAACTGGTTCATGCTTTTGCATGGACTTGTCATTGTTGGCGAAGCGAAAATTTCTATTGGCGTGCCACTTCTTTTTGCGGGTGATTGTCGCAGCCTGTCCTAAGCTCAAAATTGATCAGCAAGCGACCTTTCGAGACGTGTGGACCTTGTTGTTGTTCCCGAATCCGAATGCTGCTGCATCGGCACGCCCATTCGTGGCAAAGGTGTGCAATGGCGTCCCAAAAACTGGGGACTGCGGCTGTGGCCTGCGTTGGACTTGGTGCGTGGGTAGCCTAGCGAAACCTTGTCTTCACGCAATTACTTCTCGGTGCGGACATTTTGGGGCACTGCCTGGCACAAGGCTTGGTTTTGTCGCAACTCCAGGCCTTGTGATTTGGGAATGTAACATTGAACCAATGCTCAGCCATCACGTGCAAAACACCCGTCCAGATGGAGCTAATCGACGAGTACCTGCTGCAGAAGTCCATGCTGCAGCAGCAAAGGCCATGGACAAGCCAGTTGTGCAGGTGCCAAAAAATGCTGAATGCGCAACAGGCAGTTCCTGCAACGCCAGAAGCAGGCTAACAAAGACATGGGAACATTTTGCATCACAAAATGGTTTCATGGTACCTGCCAGAGGCAGCGCCTTCACCGTCGGCGCTGCGGCCGCCACTGCCGCGGGTGCTGTGGCGGCGTCCACGCGCCGAAAGACCCGGGCCTCCCGAGCCGTGGCCCAAGTGCCTGCGCTCCTCGGTGTTTTGCTCATGCCTGTGTCGCTGCTGGCACAGGTTGCTGCACGTGCGGAAGTGGCCCCTGGTGAGAAAGTGGTTGGCATTGACCTGGGCACCACGAACTCTGCCGTGGCTGCTATGGAGGATCGGCATGGATGGCCTCAACTAAAGTTTTGTAGCAGGGTAGGTGAACTTGGAGTCTTGAGTGTCTTTGGGAGGCCGGTGCCCCGACTGTGATCCCCAACGCAGAGGGTGCCCGTACCACGCCGAGCGTCGTAGCCTACTCCAAGAGCGGCGAGCTGCTGGTGGGACAGATCGCTAAGCGCCAGGCCCGCAGCGCTTGCAGCTTCGCAGTTGGTAGTTTCCGTGTTCTTCAGTTTTAGCCCATTTCAGGATGTTTCAGGATGTTTGCACCACGGCAGGCCGTGGTGAACCCGGAGAACACCTTCTACTCGGTGAAGCGCTTTGTCGGCCGCCAGCCTGGCGAAGTGGAGGAGGAGTTGAAGGAGGTGTCCTACCAGGTGGACTTTGAAGGCCAGAAGGTGAAGATCGACTGCCCGGTCTTGAGCAAGAAGTTCGCTCCGGAGGAGATCTCCGCACAGGTGCTGCGAAAGCTCAGCGGGGATGCCGGCAAGTACCTCAGCGCCACCGTCCAGAAGGTGCCCGGCATAGCTTCTATTACTGGATCTTTCTGGTAGTGCTCAAGTTTAGAAGCAGTGGACTGACTTTCTGTTGCATCTCTGAAGGCCGTGGTGACGGTCCCGGCTTACTTCAACGACTCCCAGCGTCAGGCGTGGCGTTGAAAGGGGTGTAGGACAGCGTAGTGTGGGCCTCTCTGGGCCAGACGTGCTTGGAGATGAAGATTTGAAAGACCTGCCAGGCCACAAAGGATGCCGGAAAGATTGCCGGACTGGACGTGCTGCGTATCGTGAACGAGCCCACGGCCGCGTCCCTGGCCTATGGCCTTGAGAAGGCAAACAACGAGACCATCCTGGTCTTCGACCTCGGCGGCGGCACCTTCGACGTCTCCGTCCTTGAGGTCGGTGACGGAGTCTGTGAGGTGCTGGCCACGAACGGCGACACCCACCTCGGTGGTGACGACTTCGACAAGGTGATTGTGGACTGGCTGGCGGAAGACTTCCAGAAGACTGAGGCCTGTGGGTTCCTAGTTTCTGTTGTGTCGTGAATTTGTGGCTTCTGCACTGCTCAGGGCATCGACCTCCTGAAGGACAGGCAGGCACTTCAGCGCCTGACCGAGGCCTCGGAGAAGGCCAAGATCGAGCTCTCAGGTGTGCAGGAGGCGCGCGTGTCTGCTGATGTCTGCGGGTTCAGCAGGTCTTTGATGGCAGTGTATGGCAGTGCAGTGGGTACAGTAGCAGCTGCAGACTTTGCGGCGATCTGCGGCTAGGCCAAGATCTCCCTGCCCTTCATCACCGCTGATGCCACGGGCCCCAAGCACATCGAGCAGAGCCTGTCACGTGCCAAGTTCGAGCAGCTGGCCAGCAAGCTGATTGCCCGCTGCAGGACATGAGACAGCTTTTGCTTCGTTGTTGAACTTGCGCCCGTCCAGCATCAGCGGTGCAGGACCCCAGTGGAGAACGCCCTGAAGGATTCCAAGCTGAGTGCCAGCGACATCAACGAGATCGTGCTGGTGGGTGGCTCCACCCGAATCCCGTCTATTCAGAGTCTGGCCTCCGAGTTGGTTGGTGGCAAGAAGCCCAACCAGAGTGTGAATCCGGATGAGGTGGTGGCCGTGGGTGCAGCTGTGCAGGCCGGTGTGTTGGCAGGCGACGTGAAGGACATCGTCCTTTTGGATGTGAC